CACTAGAATCTAGTAACAAAAATAACAGTCTCAATTTATACAGACATGTATTGTGGGTTGCATGATGTGATTTTCTTTCACATTTGGATAGATTTCGTTATTTATGCTTTTGGGTTATTATTGGGTAGGAACTCCTTTATATTATGCATACATCATACTTTTAAAAGCGAATTATAATAAATTGGTAATACACTGATAATAGGTAATCATCCTGCATACATTTTTTGGCCTTTGAAATATTATTTTGAATTGTAGTTTTAAATGTTTTATCAGTTGTAATACTACACAATCCAAATTACAATTTACAACAAATGTTAAGTTATTGAACAAATTCAGAACAATGGAATTATACTCATATTATTAAACAGCACAGTTTACTGCTTTATGTATAAGCAATTTAGTCTCTGTCTTCCGAAAGTTCACTAAAACTGTCACTGTCCTCCGATCCGAGTGAAATAATTAATGGTTCTATAGGTGAATGCATTAGGCCATCTAATCTATATTGAAGTACAATTCCGCCTTATTGCGCCCCTGTAATATATTACCATTTAAGTTTGTTTATAATAGGTGGCGTGGCAATGCATTTTTCCGTTGTTAATGTTATGCGTTTTATGCATGGATGCAGACGAGTTCATTGTACTGTACGTTTTGGTAGCATTTCCAATTATACTTTAATGAGAAAACTCGGTGTTACGTTATTTTCGCCTGAATGGCATTCTATAGGTTATGGGCCCAGTCTCGTTAACTGTAGTTTTGGTGAATTAGTCGTGATAGAGTTGTATTAAAGTGGAAAATTAAAACGTGTGTCCTACATTCGCGTGTGTTGAAAATGGCGTCTCAGAACATTATGCCCATCGGCATTAAACCCTTCAATGGACAGGGATATTCAAATTGGGAGTTCAGAATGAGGCTGCTATTAGAACATCACGGGGTTCTTGATACGTTAAACAACGAAGCACCTACCGATGTGGAAGAACGTGCGAAGTTCGTTAAGCAGGATATAAAGGCACGAAACCTGATTGTAAATTGTTTAGCCGACAACGTTCTCGAGATGATCAAAGCTAAGACCACAGCTAAAGAGATCGTAGACACTCTGAACTGTACGTATCTCAAGACCGGTGTGGCTTCTCAAGTGCAACTACAGAGGAAGCTGCGGAACATGAAGTTTAGTGGAACCGACTCACTGAGTAATTACATTGTGGAATTTGAAAAAACAGTGACTGAGCTAAGAAATGCAGGGGGAAAATGGACAACTTGGAAGTCATTTCACAACTGCTAGCGTCAATCACAAAGCCACAATATCAAAGTGTTGTCACAGCCATCGACATACTGTTCTCGCAAGAAAACTGCAAAGTAACTCTTGACTTTGTAAAAAGTAAGTTGCTGAGCGAAGAGCTGAAATTCAAGCAGATCGAGGGAGAGTCAGCCGAAGGTAGTTCGAGCAGTTTCATGAGTCACAGCGGCAAGAAAAAGAAATTTCCTTCAAAGTTTCCCCCAAGCAAGTTTTCGGAGAAGTTTCCCTACAAGTGCTACGGTTGTGGTGTCCGAGGGCACAAGAAATCCGAATGTCCCAAGAACAACCAAGGAAAGAAAGCTAATGTGACCGAAAACGACGATGAAGTGGCTTTTATAACTTGCATGTCGAGTGAAAACCATGGAAAAGAAACCAACAGGATTTTACGATTCGTGGTGGATTCAGGTTGTACAAATCATCTAGTTACTGAAGAATTTGAACAGTTCATGACAGAAAAGCAACAAGTACAACATAATATCAATGTGGCAAAGAAAGGCGAAAGTGTGCAAGCCAACACAGAGGGAACGCTGCATGTAGAAACGGAAGACGGCGTAAAAGTAAGGTTAGAAAATGTACTAGTATGCAAGAATCTTACACATAATCTGCTTTCGGTAAAGAAAGTAGAGTCCAAGGGCATGGGGATCGTTTTTGAAAAGAACCAGGTGTTAATAAGGAGTAGAAAGGATCGGGTTCTGGCTAGAGGAAAATTGGAGGGTAATCTATATTTTCTAAATTTGCTTTCACCGAATTTATGTGAGGCAAATGTGACGGGAATTGATCAAGATTTGTGGCACCGAAGAATGGGTCATTCTTCGACTTACCCAGCTTCGAAGGTCTGCGAAGTGTGTCTGCAAGGGAAACAAACAAGAAATCCTTTCAAAACCTTGGAGCCGGAGAGAAAAGCGAAGAAGTTGCTCGAGTGTGTGTCCAGTGATGTATGTGGACCGTTGAATCCAGTCGCACACACAGGAAACAGGTATTTCATTACCTTTATTGATCATTATTCACATTTCACTGTTGTTTATTTTCTCAAACACAAAAGTGAGGCATTTGAAAAGTATAAGGAATACCTAGCCTTAGTTCAGAATAAATTCAAAACATTGCCTGAACGTTTAAGGTGCGACAACGGGGGAGAATATATTTCTCACGAATTTAAAAACCATAGTAAACAAAAGGGTGTGCAATTGGAGTACACAGTACCTAGAACTCCAGAACAAAACGGTGTGGCAGAGAGACTCAATCGTACAATATTGAACAAGGCACGATGTCTAATATTTGAATCCAGTTTGGAAAAACATTTTTGGGAAGAGGCTGTAGCAACGTCAGTCTACCTCATAAACCGTACACCTACGTCTACTTTGCCCGACAAAACAACACCCGCTGAGATATGGTATGGCCAAAAACCTAACCTCAACAAAATCCGTGTGTTCGGTTGTACGTCCTATGTGCATATACCGACAGAGGACCGAAGAAATAAATTAGAACCGAGAAGTCGGAAAATGTTTTTGGTTGGCTACACCGATAATGGATACAGACTTTGGGATCCTATAAAGGGAAAAGTCGTTTCCGCAAGAAATATTGTGTTCGACGAAACAATGCAGAAGAGGATGAATATACCACAAGATGTTGAAGTAATCGTACCTCAAGATCGAGAAGAAAAAGAGCGTGATGAACTGGAACAAGAGTCAGGAAGTAGATCTGAAGAGGACAGTAACAACATGAGTAACGACATGACCGAGGACACGATAAAAGATTCGAATACTGATGCAAGACCCAAGACAAGAGCAGGGAGAAAAATAAATCTACCCAAAAGATACGAAGATTTTGCAATGGACTATGACGAAGATCTTTTTGCTGCCTTATCTGCAGGGAATTTATTAGACGATGTACCCCAGTCATACAACGAAGCTATCGCTTCAGGAGAAGGCTGGGAAGGAGCCATCGAAAGCGAACTACAAGCTCTGGAGAAAAACCGTACATGGCAAATAGTCGAAAGGCCGAAGAATGAAAAAGTAATCGACTCAAGGTGGATCTTTAAAGAAAAGGAGATCGGCAAAGAAAAAGTGAAAAAGGCAAGGTTGGTGGCGAAGGGATTTCAGCAGAACAATCCAAGCTACGAAATGTATGCACCCGTGGCTAGGATGGTGACACTACGAGTGTTATTAGTGATGTGCCTCGAAGAAGATATGTATGTGGGTCAGTTAGATGTGAAGTGTGCTTTCCTGAACGGAGAACTGAAACGGCCTGTGTACATGAACATACCTCAAGGACTAAAGGTAAATTCTAATCTTAATAATGTGGTATGTAAGCTTAACCGTGCATTGTATGGACTGCGCGAAGCACCAAAATGTTGGTACGAGAAGCTGCATTGTCATTTAGTAAGTATAGGGTTGCAACGATCAAAGTCAGATCCCTGTCTTTACTATAATCAAGATACTTACCTCTTAGTGCATGTTGATGATTTGGTAATATTCTCTAAATCTTTGGATAAGTTAATCAATTTAAAAGGTAAACTAATGTCAAATTTTGAAATGAGAGATTTGCTCCCTAATGCCTGTAAAGAAATAACTTTATGTTTTTTAGGTTTAAACATAATTAAAACTAAAACTACACTTTTTGTTAACCAGAAAGATTTAATATGCAAAGTGTTATGCAAGTTTGGAATGAATGAGTGTAAAAGTTTAAGTCTCGGTTTAAGTACACCTATACAGCGTAATCTTAATTTGAGAGTGACCGATGTGTGTGATGAAAACTTACCTTATAGACAGCTAGTAGGTCATTTAATGTATATTATGCTCGGAAGCCGTCCAGACTTGTGTTTTGCGATAACATATTTCAGTCAATTTCAAAATAATTTTAATAGAGAGCATTGGGTATATTTGAAAAATGTATTAAAATATTTGAAATCAACAGAAAATTATGCTCTTAAGTTTGAAAAGTCAACTGATAAAATAACTAACAGTGTTTTTAGTGCTTTTGTTGACGCAGATTTTGCAAGTGATATAATTGACAGAAAAAGTATTTCAGGATATTGCATCAAAATGTTTGGAAATATTATTTTTTGGAAAAGCAAAAAACAAGTCACTGTAGCTTTGTCTAGTTGTGAGGCAGAATATGTGGCTTTAGCAAATTGTGTTATGGAATGTAATTTTTTGTCACAATTGCTTAATGAAATTTCGAATTATTCTATATATCCTATAAATATATATGAGGACAACCAGTCATGTATAAAAATGGCTGAAACCTTGGAAACCAAGCGTACCAAGCATATAGATGTAAAACATCATTACATTAGAGACTGTATTGATAAAAATAAAATTGTTTTGAACTACATTCCAACAAATGAGCAGGAAGCCGACATATTTACTAAAGGTCTACCAACCGTAAAGTTTAAGTATTTTAGAGATAAGTTAAAAATTTTGAATGTTTAAGTTACTTATTGTATTTGTTTCATGATTTCGGAATTGAGGGGGAGTATTGAAGTACAATTCCGCCTTATTGCGCCCCTGTAATATATTACCATTTAAGTTTGTTTATAATAGGTGGCGTGGCAATGCATTTTTCCGTTGTTAATGTTATGCGTTTTATGCATGGATGCAGACGAGTTCATTGTACTGTACGTTTTGGTAGCATTTCCAATTATACTTTAATGAGAAAACTCGGTGTTACGTTATTTTCGCCTGAATGACATTCTATATGATTAAACACCTAAAACTTTACACAGATAAAAACAATTCTAATTGTAATCTCTTCTTTTAGTAGCAAGATATTATGCCGGGAAATATATGCCACTACTACAGATGTGGGAAGAAGAAAGCTACGGATGGGGTAATTTTACATCAATTTCCTGTTCAGGATGTTATTCGACTGCAACGTTGGATTATCAATTCAGGTAACTAATTGCACGTTTATACAATTATGGTATTCTTGTGTAAATCATGTTTTAATCTTGTTATGGAAAGTTAAGGCATAAAAGTGCTGTTTGCCATCCCAAGATGAATCTAAGGTTAGCAATCACATAAATGCATACTCATACATAGTTAATCCGTTCTCTTGTACCTTACTGTGTCGAGGTGTTCGGTTTGACTGAAATTCTCCACCTATTCCTATCCATTACCAATCTCTCCATGTTGTTTTGTGGTGGTTTAAGGTTAACTGTTGCAAGTGTTACTTATTTTGGCAAGAAAGTTTAGTGATTATTTTATGCATGCACGGTTTTGGCCAATCACAGTGCTTTATTCAACCTACCCTACATGAAATTACAGCGGTAATTTTTCGATAATACTTCATGTTGATATATATGCAACTGTAACCAAGTAACGGTGACAGATTCTGTCAATGAGTAAATTTGGCAAAAGGAGTTGGGATGACAACATATGTTATGCATAAAATAATCTTAGCGAATCTAATGCGTACATTGATTTCCCGTATGAAAATTCCTTAAACTTGCCGTTTAGATGTAACCCGTGCAAACTTGACAGAAAAACACTCCCGCTTCGCGGTCGTGTTTTTTAAACTGTCAAGTTTTCACTCGTTGCTAAACGACAAGTTATCGGAATTTTTTCTTAACGTGCATACATGAATTAAAAAAAAGTACAAAACTATTAAAATTATATATTATTAGGGCCGGTTTTGTTGTGCTGTATTCGAATCATATTTTCACGTAGTTATTTTAGACAACTTTCTTGTCTTATTTTTATAATTGATATTATTTTAAATTCTTATTTAACATTCCAATTTTAAATGCAGTTTACATCGAAAAAATAGCGTTTTTACTTCGTTTCTTACTTCTACATGTTTAGATTATTCTTTTACTTAAACAATTTTTTACATTTTTTAAATAAGTTTGTTTGCTGCATCAAATATTGCATCTAACTCTACATTTATGTAAAAAGTCCTATTTTGGTTTCATTAAACCTCCTTCAAATACATGATTTATGTAAGAAATATTTTTATCGGTTGCAGTTGTAAAACATCCATACGAGTTCTAAGTGTAGGCTGCATATTATTTTGTTTGCATTATTTATTTTATTACTCCATTACATTCGTAACAGTATTTTTTATTGCAGGAAATGTTAATTTGCTGAATCTAGAGAAGTCTAAGTTGGCAAACCGCTTCATTTGTGGAGAGCATTTCGCCGATAAGGACTTCATGAACGCAAACCATCTGAAACTTTTGAAATCTGCCATCCCTATTCCATATTGTAATGCTACTGCTCCTTCAGTTGAACGTTGTTCAGAACAAATACAGAACGCTGCAAGAATTGATGAAGAAATACCTTTTGAATCAAGGACGATCAATCAGGACCGAAGCACTCTGAAAGTTTATGGTAAACCTTCATTGATTCCTTCGCCAAACAGGCCTGTTTCTCCAAAAACACCAACGAAGGAGTTATTGGATGAGATTTCACAAATGCCCAGCCCCAATTTTCCAAAACGAAAACTATTTTCTTCGCTTACACATCAGAATGAAAAAGTCATTACGAAGTTGATGTCTACCCAACAAAAGCTAAGAAACCACAAAGTTCGTGTTTCAAGATTGCGCAAAACTATCAAGACTGCAAGGAAAATCAATACAACTGATGAAATTTTCCGGAAACATCAATTTTCATCGCTGCATTCGAGAACCCTTGCCTGTATGCAACTGAGGAAAACTCGTGCTAGTTGGACATTAGCAGAGAAAAATTTTAGTATTATGCTGTTTTATAAATCGCCGGCAGCATATGATTTTTTGAGATCTATCAAAGTTATCCTTCCCAGCCCTTCAACAAATTTAGAAGTGGATCGGACTTCAAATGGGTATGCCAGGATAAAGCGGGGTTCACATTTGTGCATTTCCATGCTGCAACTGTGATGCGGCATTAAAATGCTTGCATTTTTCCCCTTCACATTATGCATTTTTTCTTGCAATTTTTGATGCGCATGGAAATGCATGCTTTAGACCACGTTCTATTTTGTATGCATTTTTTGGCGCATCTTTAGTAATATTTTTAGGAATATTTCTCTTGCCAATAGCTAGAATTAAGTTTGCAACGAAAAGTTCGTTGACTCATGGCTGTTTATGTTTCTTAACCTTACATTTTAATTTTAAACAGTTTGGAATTGGGTTAATTATTTTATTTAGTGTTAAAAATGAACCGTGAAATACGTGCTTTTCCATGGTCGCGTACCTTAGTGGAGGACCTTATAATTTTGTACGAAGCGCAACCCTTATTGTATACAACGAAAATGAAAGAATATAAGAATAAAATGAAACGGCAAAATGCAATACAATCAATAAAAAATGAATTGATGAAAAAGTATCAGGTTGAGTGCCGCAATTTAACGGACCAAGACATAATTAAAAAAGTACACGTAATTCGGACGCAATTTAAGAAAGAGGTGGCACTATTAAAAAAATTTTTGTCCAGTGGTTGTTCAGCAGATTCCTACGAACCGAAACTTTGGTGTTTTGACATGCTGCAGTTTTTAAACGAATGCGATCCAGTGAGGGAAAGCCAATCAAATATTGAACCATCAGTAAGTATTTATTTATAAGGTTTTTAAAATAATCACATTGTAATTGATTTTAAGGAGACCCAAATATTCACGCCCAATGGTACTACAGTTACATATGATGAGGATATTGTGTTTGAAGGCACGCTGGAAGACCTGGATGAATATGAAGTTGATGCTTTCAATAACAGTCCATGCACTTCACAAACATCGACATCAAGGGCAACTACACCTACAGTATCAAAAAGCAAGAGGAAAATGCAGAACTCTGTGGCAGACCTAATCCAAACCGCTGTACAATCCCTCGAAAGTTGCAAAAAAAGGCCCCACATTGAAGATGAATTTGATATATTTGCAAAGTAAGTGTTTTAAATAGCAATTAAATAAGTTGCCAGTGATAAATATTAAAAAAACTATCAATTTTTATTATGTTGTAGGACAATCGCAACAGAGTTGAGGAAAGTCGAAGACCCTTACAAAATACGGATGTTGAAGAAGGAGATATTTACAAAAGTTGTTGATGCTCAATATGATTAGATTTTATTTTGTACATTTGTTTATTGATAATAATAATGCTATGCTAAGTCATTTTGCCATTCTACTGCTCCTATACCATTTACATATTGTACAAATTCATTTCGATTATCAAGTGCTGATGCAGTTGACCTGTTGCCTGCTTGTCGACTTAAGGTGTACTTAAATGTGAATCGCCTATCAATGTTCTGTTCCTTAACATCATAACCATTTGGGGACCTTGTTCGCAAAAAATTATGTAGCACAATGCATGCTAGAGTTAATGTTTGGGCCTTACTTGGGTCCAAACTTATAATGTTCAATAATACACGAAAACGATTTGTTAATATCCCAAATGCGTTCTCCACAACTCTTCGTGCTCTGCTTAGGCGATAATTGAATATACGTTGTTGCCAAGTCATATTACGAAATGGAAACGGCTTTAAAATATGACGGGATAATGGAAATGCTGCATCAGCAACTATTACATATGGTACTGGTTTGGTACCCGCTGGCAATGGTCTTTCCTCTGGAAAATTTAATTTGTTTGTTTCAATCGCTGCAGCAAGTGAACTATTCTTGTATACACCCCCATCTGAAATTTTTCCATTTCTACCCACATCGACATATAAAAAGCTATAATTGGCATCAACCAAAGCCAATAGTACGATACTGTGTGTGTGCTTATAATTAAAATATGACGATCCTTCATTTGCGGGAGCTTTTATAACAACGTGTTTACCATCTAATGCACCTAACACATGTGGCAAGTTCCATCTTTCTTCAAATTCATTAGCAATTTTTAACCATTCTTGGGTTGTAGTAGGCATCTAAAAATATTATTTAGTTAAACATCATTTTTATTCATTGTCGAGTGTAGCTGTATCTACCTTTAAATACTGATTTTTTAAATTATTGTAAATGGCAATGCAAACTTCTGGGATTATTCCAGCAATTGTTGATTGTCCCATTCTAAATGAAAAGGAAAGACTTTTATAAGACTCGCCAGTAGCTAGATAGCGCAATGTAACAGATAATCGGTCTTTGGCCGAAATTGCATTCCTGAATTTAGTGTCCTGTTTCTGTATATCATTTTCAATAAGTTTCAATAGATCATTGAAAGTATCTTCATCCATTCTAATAAAATTCTTGTAATTTTCTTTATCCAGCACTGCTAATTCATTGTGCAACAAATTAGAATTGCCTTGACTATTTGTTTCCCGTTGCTCAATCCATGGTCTTACCCACCACCGTCTCTTACGATTTAATAATAAAGCTGCAGATGCACCAATTATAAGTGTTATTAGAACAATTTCTTCCACATCCATACTTCAAGTATTTGAACTTTGAGGGAAAAATTTATAAGAAAAACACTTTTATTTTTTACTCCAGAATGCCAATTGAGGAGAACTGGGTTGGCAAAAAGTAAATTCCCTAACTAGTGATATTTGTAATTGCATCAAAAATTGCAGTAATCTGAATAGCTACGCGCGCATGAAAAAATGCAGCAACTTGATGCGCCATCAAATGCAGCATGAAAATGCACAAATGTGAACCCCGCTTTACACAGAAAATCACGCGTAGGTATCACTGAAGTAAATTTGTTGTGCTAAACGGAGTGTGTAAAGTTGCCTAACCTCTTCAAAAGAGCATGTTACAAGTAGAAAGAGATGATTGAATTTGTCCCATTCTATTTGGTGTCTCTTTATTTATAACCTTTCAATGGATTTAATTATAAATGCAAGGAGCCTAATAACACTTGCCTAATGAGCTTTTCTATTGATATTAATAAATTCATCTTGTTTATTTATTGCATGGTAATTAAAATACTATTAGTTTACGTATTTTCCTGTTTAGTGTTTATTCAAAGGATTTTGAGTTTTTCAAGTATGGATATTTTTCTCTAAAGCAATATTATTTTGCATATGGTGCACTATTATTACCGGCGATTGTAAATGAGGCCGATGGTTAGGTACCTCATATTATAAAATATATGAAAATTTGGTCGGTGTCCAATTTAGATTGAGACACCAGAAACCGAATCAATCTAGTTACGTTTGTTGATATACAGGAGGAAAGCGAAACGTTTTAGGTTTTGTGATGTTATCATATCTTGCTACCCATGCAAAATAGAAGAAAGGTAATAACTATCAGTTTTAGATATTTTTACGTAGAATCTAGTGGACTAGTAAAAAAAGTTTTGGACCACTCTGAGATTTGATCCGAAGTTGGTGTTTTTTAAACACCGTATGTTTCATAAAATCAGTTGTTTGCTTTCTTTGTCCTAATTACACTGATGTATCACAACCTATATAAATTTTTCAATTTTACCCATGAAAATGAATAAAAACGTAAGTTTTTACTGTTTGAAATACAAATAGCAGATTAAATAGAGATTATGGTTTTTTTATTATATCCATGGTAACTAAGGCAAACTATTAATACCAGTCAATAATGCTGATACATAATTGTAATCAGGATAAAGAATGAAAAAAAAATTATGTTATAGATATAGGGCGTTCCATTTAAAAGATACCTATTTTGGGTCAAATCTCAGAAACGGTGGTCCAATTGATTACGCCACAGGATTCTACGCAAAAAGATCTAAAATTTATATTACATGGGTAGTAACATATGATCACGTGTCAAAAAATCAAACTTTTCGTTTCCACGCTGTATCTCAGAGATAAACGTATTTAAAAAATAGGACACAGTAAATATGGTCGATAGATAATAATTATGATTGCGTAATGGGGTATCCGTTACTATTGAATGTCGGCCGCAGGAAAGCCAGAGTAAACATACTGTCCCGCATAACGTATTAGGTTTTTATTTTGCAATGTCAGAATAATAACATTCTAACTTACTATTCACATAATTTAATTGTAATATCCAAAAATGCAAAATAAAATTTAGTATAGTAATTAGTATTAAGTAGTCCCGTGAGAATTTCGTACACTCCCGGAATTGGTAGATCCACGAAGAAGTAGAGGACAAGACCTGAGAACAATTTACATGAGTTGAGGGGGAGGTGCAACACTATGCATTAATTATTTAATAAAGTATCTTTTCTTATTGTAAATATTTGTATATTGTATATAAAAGTATAACATTTCTTTGTCTATTTTTTAAAATCATCTTTTCCTGATACTTATGAGTCCCTCCACTGTTGTTGTGAGACGTATCTCTGCATGTTTTATATTCAATAAAGATTTATCGCAATAAATTCGTTGCTGGGTATTTACTATGATCATTATTGATCAAATTACCTATTTGTTATTTACGTGCCTAAAATGAATTTAATTTTCATAGAAAGTCTAAAAAGTGTTAAAGCGGAACCGCTATTGATAAAAGGAACTGCGAAAGTGATTAAATCACCCAAATCTTTTTTCAAAGTTGGACCTTTTCTATAAAAGATGAAAAAATAGCTATCCGTACGAATAGTGGACTTTGTTAGCAGATTATACTGCGTTCCATTCGGTCAAAATTACGTTTCGGTCATTTTGCCGTACATATGTGCCGTGCGAACGAGGGGTCAGTAGGATTAAAAAACAGCGGAAAAAATAAAAAGTTATAGATACCCGCAATGAAAGTATAAGCCACAAGAAACTCGACAAGATGGTAAAAAGGTGTATATTTAAAGGAATTTCCCCTTTATTTGTGTCATAATGCATATTTAATCATCTAATTACCATATAATTAGCGAGGTACAAAAGCAACAGTCAATTTCGCCGGAAGGTATGAGGTGCAATCTAAGCTGCCTAACTTCGATTTAAATCACTGAAAAATTCGTGACGTCACCCAAATCTTTTTACCAATTTGGCGCTTTTCTATAAAAGATGAAAA